TACTGCTGAGCAAGGACACAATTACTGACTAAATGCATGGAAGAGATATTACATGGATCATGTCTGTTTAGTTTTTTAGTGTATGCTGTGCCATATGGTTTCACTTAAGTTCAGAAAAAACTGCTGCAACTCTCCCGTCCTCATTACACAGAGAGGATGCCAGATACTAGCTACTCTTTGTTATGAAAGCCTTTTCTATTCTTTAAGCTACATGTACTGAGAAATTCTATTAATAGTCAGGTATTTCTCCACTCTTGTTTGTTGCCCTTCTCCAAATAACTCTTTCCTTTTGCTTTAGCTAAAGAGGTAAATTTGGGGAGGAGGCCCTCTGGGATTAATAATCGCACTAACACTATAAACCATGTTTCCATTGCTTATTCATTGACGAATTTAACCCTGAAAGCAGCGCACATGCTAGAGGATCTCTGCAACAATATGGACAGCATGTGCATATTCATACCTCCATAAGTTACACTGACAGAAGCACTGCTAGGAAACGGTGCAAATACAAAAGAAGAAATTTCAAGTAAAAAAAAATCTCCATGTAACTCGTTTAAGAGCCTGAGATTGCTGCAGTCTCCTTGCTTTTCACTGAAAAAGCTGCAAAAGCACGCTTGGTGGGTGCTGAGAAAGAAGAATTCCTACAAGCAAATTAGACACTCGCAAATGGTGAAACGTGGGAGGCACTCCAACATCCCAGTCAATGCTGAAACAATAGCCTGGGACACAGGAGGGTGCTCGGCAGCCTGAGCTGTCCCCCCCAGGACATCTTGACATTTGTAGCTTTTAGAGTTCCAACTTCTTGTTACAGTTTGATCTTCTCGACAACTCTTGAAGATGACTAATTTCATCGTGTTCCTGAATGACATCCCTCGCTTTGGCTATACACACACTAATAAACAAAGCAGCAGCAGGGCACGGGCCCACACTGTCCTACATGAGTCCATACTACTAAAGCATTAGCACAGTCCCTGATGGTCTTCACCAGGGCCAACAAATATCCTCCTCTCTAATTCTCACGCATTCATAGTGTCACAGGCTAATACAGGCCAGTGACCTTTCTTGGTAGGAAGCCTGGACATAGCCACCCTCTTTTAGGGGAGGGGCAGGAAGTTAACCTGTTTGAACAATGAGCTCAACTGCCTTCAGGACCAGAGGACAACCATTTTATTTATTAATAGAGATGGAGTCATCATTTCCAAGCACTCACAGTGGCACATCCCGTTTCTACATTCTGTCAAGTCACATAGTAGGAGATAACAAGCTCAATGTGGCACTAACAGCCTTGTTTTTTAAAGTTAGTGCAGTCAAATATGACACTGGCCTGTTTGACGACATGGTCATTCTTCATCATTTAGAAAATCTTGATTCAGATGCTGAAAGATAACCTCATAGGTTCATAGCCAGCTGCAGATGTCACTGGTTGAAACCTAGAGCCACTGGTACACAAAAAGCCAAACTAGATACTTGTAGCGACCCTTTGTAGTGTCAAAACCCAATATACTCATGCCTCTTCAGAAATATGACATATCTATTACTTTCCCTATTCTCTATGCACAGAGAAAGCGGGAGTTCCCACACGCTACAGGCATCTGTGATGAATGCAATGACACCTTCAATCTGCTCTATCAGCTCCAACACTCCTAACAGTTCTCAGCTCTGCTTTTGTTCCAGGTTTCTAGGGATTGTGATCAAGTAATTAGGATCAACCCTTGGTCCAGATCTTTCGTGAACAGAGGCAAGTACATGTACTAAAACTCTCTGCACATCTAAGAAAAAGGTACAATCGCTCTTCATAAACTCCTCTTCATCTATTTCTAATACCTTGTAGAGGACACTCAGAGACCACTGTTCAAAAAAAGTTTGCACGAGACTTCCTGCCATGTGCCTCATCTCAGAAAGTCCTGTTCATAAAGCAGTAGGGTCACCACCTGCTTATTCCTGTGCTTCTTTCATTTAGCAGACAAGTCATCACTAAGGTGGTTAACTAACGATAGTAGAAGTTTCCAATCTGACAAGAGATGTGTATTATTCCTACTGCAATAGTCCATTTCAGAACCAGCATCATTCGAGGGAAAGTCTAAAAACTTTGATATTCAGAACCATATTCACCTTGAGGGCTTCTAGACGCAAATCCTCTTGGAGAGAGTGGAGCACGCTGGTCATAAAACCCCCTTGCGTGGGCTAACGGCCAATTCAGAAAATGGAGAAAAGGAGTGAGCGTTCTTTCACGAAGAAACACTGTTAAGCTTTCTATGTTGTACTGAGTACTTTTTAGCATCTGGAGATGGAAGAATTGTCTTGACAATCAGATTCTTTTTGAAGAAAATGAAGATCCCTGACGAACTGTGTCAAAATGATCAGCATACTGCCTTCTCCTTGATATGATCGCCTTTAAAAGAGCGGTAGTCCTGCCCCGAAAATTTCTGAGCCATTTCTACTCTTTCACATGTAATTTATACAGACGTGTTACTCCAAATTAGTGCAGCTCAGTAGACAATGCTCTTCAAAAGCTGCTTTCCCCTAAAGATTGCAAGACTTGTTCTTGCAATCTTGGAATTGTTCTTTCTTGGACAAGTAAACACCAAGTGATGGATGAAAAAGGACTTTCAGTTTTTTTCAGAGACAAAGCAAAGAAAAACTTAGCTAAAAAGCTGAAGAATAGAGAGGAACTTTAATAAGAGAAAGCAGAAATGGTGGATTAACCTCCAAGCTGCTAAGAATCTCTTGATTTCATAACTTTAGTACTTTCAAGCTACCACAGATTAATTTCTAGAAGTTTCTTGGAACATGCAGCATTACTGAAAGTGAGGTCATCCTGTAGCTATATTTCACACCAAAAAAAAGCGCCACTTTGCACTTGGACTAGATCACAGTGGCTTGAAAACGCTGGGTGGTATTCACCCAAGTTCTCAGCAAAATCTTCCCATTACCAACCCAGCTACAGTCAGTGTCTGTAAACACCGACCGCCTTTCCCAGTGTGATGCACGTCGGAAATCCCAGCTGATGGTGTCACAGGGCTTCCTAACGCACAGAGCTAAACTCCTGCCCTGTCTGTTTCAACACAAGCACGTCTCTCTACACTTTCTCAGCCACCCCGATGACTCTTTTTCCCATGCACATCCCAGCTCTGATAGCTTTCATCTCGCACCAGCACGTGACTGAGCTCCACGCTGCCTGCCTGGGTCAGTTGTTTGGATATCATTAGATTGCCCTGACTGAAAGCCCTAATGAGGTGCTGATCCCATCATCCAATCACTCAGCTGAGCCCGAATGCATCCTGTGGGACGGCCAGAATAAGACTGATGCAAGAATTCCAAGTGATGTGTAACATGAAAGGGCGCCATTCGCATTGCTAGGACTCACAGCCTGTCAGCACAGCCATTAGAAATCCCGGGCTACAGAGATTTATAATTCAACCCTCCCACACACAGAACTTGCTCCAGACTGAAACTTGGCACAAAATTCAGTCCCAGGAGGGCATTAAAAAAATAACCCATTCAACGGTTTCTATCCCATGGCTTCAGCTCACAGCCATTTAAATAATGGCAATTTCTCATTTCTCTTTTTAACTGAGGAAATCCAATATAAAACACCAGATTTACATAACATTGCAGTGGTGATACAAGCTGGCAACAAACCCGGGGAGAAGGCTGCCAGAGCCGTTCCGTCATCCCCTTTTGGTGAATTTCTCCATTTGGATTCAGTTTAACGGAATGATTTTTATTAGGTCTAGCTGACATCATGTGTAATCTGCAAATCCCACCTCCACGTTGGTCAGGCAGCTTGCCCTAGTTTTGTACACCTTGTGTGACTGTTAGAAGGGGACAAGCCCTCCCGTGGTCAATGCAGCCTTCCACTTGTGCTGCCACTGTAATTTCTTTGCTGCAAACTCTGCTGGCTGATTTAGAGGACAGTAATTAGTTGCCTATTGAGCTGCAAAAGACTGACTGGACAAGGAATGGACATATACAAAACAAAGAAGGGAATTGATGCAAGCCAAAAGAAATTTGTCAGTGGAGCCTTTGATTTGATCAGAGATTGTTCTAACGACCACAACACCTGCTTCCACGGAGAGAGACAGACCCAAGCCTATTGCGGCTGCAGTCCTTTCTCCAGCAGGTATTTCGGTTCCTATGGGACCATCTGTAATCTTGAGTTTGTCAGGGTAAAAAAAATCTTGGAAGTTAATGCAGTGCCACAAACACTTCTTAATAAACACATCAGACTTCAGGAAGTCTGCAACAAATGACTGCTGTGAGCATAAGCCTTCTGCTCCACCACCACTCACCCAGAGAGGCCTTTGGTGGCACATGCAGGATAGCAAGGAGCTTGTGTCACCCGCAAAATATACCACCTGCTGGGTGGGCTACTGGCTCTCATCTCATTATCACCAGCACCGCTCTTGCTCTCCCACAGCACACCTGAGACGCAGCCCCTGCTGCCATGCTCCAGCTGCAGGACAAAGCGTATTACGAATCATCACTAAAGCATCTGACAGATTTTTCCTGTTCGTTATTAAAGTCCACAAGTAGCACAACTATAAAATAATTATACAACCAAATGCTATGAAAAGAAAATGAAGATTTGTATCAGTGGTAAATCCCAAGGCTCCGAAACTCAGAAAGAGGAGCCTTTCCCGTTCTTTAGAGAATTACTGACTTAAAGGTACTTTAAAGCAGTTTGGACTCTCTCTGCTGCTGTCAGCAAAGAAGCTACAAGCTACGGCAGTCAATGCCAAAATGCTTCTTCCAGAATGGGGTGGTAGGTCTAAATTGCCATTGTTGCACTGACTCTCCCCATGTACTAAACCATCCTCCATGTTCCAGTTGTGAAAACCCTTTTGGGTTTCCAAAACCTACATGTACAATGCTTCTCTAGAATAGGAGAAAAAAGCTGAGCCCAAGGGACCACCTGAGCTTTCAAAACAGAAAAACAAGATGGGGCAAGCATCCGCAGAACCACCTCCTTTTTCAACAGCTGTACAGTTTTCTCCTACCTTGTCCTTTAATTCCAAAAGGGGGTACAAAGTCCCTGATACGTGCCCATTTCCTGAAGGAATCATCCAAGAACATTGGTGCCGGCTTCGAGAACCTGAGAAAACCAAAATGAGAGAGAAATTAAGTCCTGAACTAGGAAGGATACATTTCTGTAGGGAGGTTGAGAGAATCCATATCTAAGTGCTGATTCTACATTCTCACTGGCAATACAGTAACATGGAGGATTTTACTTTTACCCAAACTCTGTGCCATGAGGACACACTCAAGTCGTAAGCCTGGCAATCACTTCCACTCAACAATTTAGAACTTCCACACTATTGTTTGGCTATTAGTTTAGCTACAATAAGTTGTAAATTGCAACCAGAGTTTAGGCAGGTTTACTTCCAGCTTTGTAAGCACAAGGCAATTTATGTGCTGTCTATGCGAGTGTGTGAGGAAGAGGTGTGGAGTTGCCTTTGTATTGTTCGTTAGACACATGCGTGCTGCTCTGTGCAGGTGTGCGTGCACTGGGCAAATGCATGCAGAGAGCAAGGCTGGGGTTATCTGCCCTCATGGGTGCTTCTGCCTCACTCATACGCACATACACAGCAGCTACCGTAACACAGGCAAGAAAGGAAACAGTTCAGGAGATCATGAAGCAGCACTTAGTTTATACAGAATGGAAATTCAGTACAGATGTAGGTGTTTTCTTCTGCTTTCATTAACATATAAATGATTCAAGAGAGGTCTTTGCCAAACCAAACAGTTGTGATCTATCCAAAATCACTTACAAAAGAAAGAACTAGTCCTTCTTAACCATGTCATTATGGGAATACATTATCCTAATTACACCCTCAACAGACAAACACAGCAGCTACTAAAAATTTGTCTCTTCTAGAAACAATTAGTACAGTGGCCAGATAGAAGGAAACAATTAGCAAAAGAAAATACAAAAATATTAACTTTCCTATGGGACCATTTCTGAGTGTATCAAGATCACTGCTAGAAAATATGCTAATACTATTAGAAATCTGTTCACTCAATCATATCAAAACAGTAGCAGGGATGTTCTGGATCAAAATCAACCACACTATGCTACAGAAATGAGGAAAGGAATGTACTGCATGTTCAGAGTCAGAGAGTGCATCTCCACTACAGCCATACTGCAACATACACGTATCTGAAATAGATACAGCCTGGCTAACCTAGGTACTGGTGGCGGGATAGATGTAACGCACGGGTTTAACCCTCCCTTCAGGCTGTTTTTGTACTCAGCATGCAACTCCATGCTACTGCAATCAGATAACTTTGGGACTTGAACTACCTGATTTAAGATAAACTCATCTACACTACGCCACAGCCAGGTACAGAGCAACAATTTCGGATAGCAGCACAGCGAGGAAAAGATGGAATGAATTCTGAACTATAAACTCTTCGAAGTACAGTCCCATCACAGATGCCCAGTAAATCAGAGGTTGCAGAAATCTCTGGGAAGGGGGAAGAAAGAGACCAACAGCATCCAACAAAGCAAGAACTGAAGACTCCAACTTACCCATGCATACCGCTTCACATCCACTCATGCAATCTTTAATAAGATCATCTAGAACCATAAAAGCAGGACACACAAATTACATGGCTGATCTAGAAGGAAAGGAATGTTTTTCCAGAACTGAGGATACGAAAGGATCTATATAACTTTATCTGGGAAAAGGTGGGGAAGATGTGTTAGATATATTAGAGCTTCTGAAAATCTTAAGTAATAAACAAAAAAACCACGGGCTTATTTAAAAAAAAAAACAAAAAACCAAAACCAACAGGATACAATAATACTCTGAAAATGTCCTAAAAGCTTCAATAACCTGACAAATTAGTTCAATGTTTTTTCAAGCATCTTGGTGCACTGAAATGTAAGTATTACGTCACACTGGTGAGTCTCCAAGGAGTTATCTCCACCTCCTTCCAACATCAGTAAGAGGAATCTTTGCAGGATTCTCATACAATGTAAGAGCTTTTATAACCTGAATGGCTACAGCACAGATGTTCACAGCTCTTCCTTTACAGTTACCACTTGACCTAATAGCAGAAGTCAGGTCCCACAGAGTGGTCCCCACTCTCCCCAGGCAGCAGCCGCAGTGAAGGATGATGGCACCGCCTGGGAGTCACCAGCACCTTTGGGCTGGTTCGTTAGGTCACCAAGCTACTCTGGTTGTCACTGTGACATGCAATCTTTGGGAAAAATCTGGATGCTTCAGAAAACACATATATGAGTAGGTTTTATTCTTCTCTCAAGAATCAAGAGGATTCCCTACAATAATGCTACAAAGTAGTACAGTGTAAATAAAAAACTTTGCCAGTTCAGTTTGCCTAGTCAAGAGCACTGCATGAAAAAGAAGGTACAGGCTGTAAGGTCAGGCCTCACTCAGAAGTTGGTATTATTTATAGATGAAATTAACTGGTCTATTTGCAAATCATACACCAGGAAAAGACAGTTTACAGTAGCCTGGCATGGAGCATTGAGTGTCTCTCCCTAATGCAGATTCCCCCTTACAAGGTGCCTGGTAAAACCAGGAAGAAGGTCAGATCCTCCTGGGACTCCCTGGGCCTCGAGGGGAGTCCCCAAAAGCAGCTGAAGCACCAGCAGGACTGATCCAATGGTGTCGCTTCGGCATGTGACTGAAGTGATACCCAAAGAGAAGGGTGAAATGACCGTTGGCCTTGTTATTGTATTTGCTACAAGTAAACTTTGGGATTTTTCTAGCAAAGAACACAATATCCTTAGACCACCTACTACTATTTGGTAATATTTAAGAATGTTGTACACAGAGCCAGGGAAACTGATTTCTAATTCATACTTTTGCTTCATTTAAAGAGGAGGGAGGAACAGTTTTAAGGGAAATATTATATCCATATGGGAAAAAAAAAGGAGTGAATTAGAGAATAGAGAATATTTAGCTCCCATAAATCTTGAAGGTAATTCCATTTTGGAAATATTAAGAAATCATGAATGCTGTAAGCTCATGATCTATGAAAAGTGCTTTGCCACCTCAATAAATCAGAGCAGGCCAGAACCGATGTCCAGCAGTGACAGGGAAACGCTGTCTGCCAGACCTCTCCAGGAGCATGGCTGTTCTGTCTCGGCTCTGAAGCCCGTCTGGCATATTCTAGGACCATTCAGGAAATATCAGGATATGCCTCAAACAGGCCATGGGAATGCTCTCTGCAGAGCACCTAAAACACATTCCTAGGAATGCGTGGGAGTTTGTCAAACAGAAAAAGCAAATGTTTCTGAATGATGTTAAATTTTGTATCTACTGAGCAGCTTACATATGGGATGCTGCATTTTACCCAAGCCGTCTGCCGCTGCTACCCAAAGGCAGGTGAGCTTCACCGACAGCCACAGCTCCAGAACTGAAACAGGCTTGTGCTCTAGGAGCAAACAGCAGATAAAGTGAGAGTTTTGATTTTTCAGATTTGATTTTTAACCATTTCCTATCTACCCCACCCCAAATTCCAGAACAGACATAATGCAACCTCGTAGCACATGACAGCCATGAAAAGGTGAGAAATTTGGGTGCTTGTGGCACACACTTGCGACCTGCATGATTTGGGAGAGAAATGCCAAGCATCTGAAATCACTAGTTGGAATGACGTACCCCAATAAAACAGCAAATGACATCCAAATAGACGAAATCTGGACTTGATGATCTTAAAGGTTTTTTCCAACCTAAATGATTCTATGAAAGGGTGGATATGATAATTACAAGGTACAGTCCAGATCTCTCCCAGCTCTCAAGTTTGCATTCCTTATACAAAGTCATTAGTAAAATATCAAACACAATTTGTCACTGCACACAGTGAAAGGAAGTGTAGTGCCAGGAAACTATTCTTAAACAGGAATCTACATACACAAGAACGTGTGGTACATATTTGTGCCTAAGGCATTACATTTCCACTTATCTTCTCCCTGACAAGTAAGAAGAGTTGTGACCTCTACCTGAAAGGCTGAACTAGCCTGCCAGAAGCTCCCCAGCCAAGTTTCCTGACCATTTCCATTCTGTCCTCGACACACAGGTCCATTCACAACCACTCTTCTTTGATGTGGGCTGAGGTATTCAACATCAGCCGTGCTAACTTCCCAAAGTATTACACAAATCCTAGACCAGCACCACCTCTGTCAAAGTAGCTACAATTTCAGACATTTAATCTTGACTAGAATCTGCTCCCTACTCCCACCTGCTGCTTTCAAGGCAATTAATACATAAATGTGTAGAAGGGAATAAGCTAGACCAGAGAGAAAGTAAAATAAATAAATCAATTTAGAGTCTTTGGCTATAACAAGGAGGGAGGAAGACAAGGCCAAGACCCTGAAAGAGTAGAGAAGATGGCACCACATTTCTGGAAATTATGACACTAAGGAAAGGCAGATTGGCAGTCACTAAGCTCCATTGGGGGCTTATTTCTCAGATATTTCCTTCCTTTTTTTCCCCTCCCTCCTCCTTTAAGCCTCCCTGCCCTTTTGTTTCGTCTTTAGTTAGGGAGAATCAGCAGCAAAGAAAAACTGGAAGCTGAAGGAAAAAAACCAAACAGTGCTAGAACCTCATGTTGTACATAACCTGCACATTGCATTTGTAAAAGGGCTTGAACAACCTTTTTTTTTTTATTAAACACACAAAAGAATGACTTGTTTGTTCCAGCATGACTTCTACCCTCTCTTTTGTTTGCTTATGCTCAAAAGCATCCACAGTTAGACAGAAGACACAAAATCCACCAATTTTATTAATAAAATGGCCAAAATACAAACCAAAGGACTCTCACACTGAATAATTAACTCTGATAGAGGCATTTATGAAAGTATGGAGATAAAAATCTAAACTAACCTTTTCCTTTTTCCCTAGTGAGACCTAGATGTATGTTCTCTCCCTTGCATTCCTTCTCTGGGGAGCAGCATAGTGTGATAGTATAGTGAATGAGGAGGCTTGTGATGTCCTGATTTCACATATCTTATTGACATTAATCCTCTGTCAAAAATCCAAGCAGCTCAAAGATTCCTCAAGCAGCTAAAAAAATTTAAGAAACTGCATTAGTAAGGATTAACCCCATCCTACAACCAACATA